GATGATATTCATAGATGACTTTTTAAAGGTAACTTTGTTCATACTGTCAAAAAGATACTATACTTTGAATACAAACTGCATGAATGAAGAATCAGGACAAATATCTCCCTGAGGAAAGTGGGCCTGATCCAAGGTCCATTGAATTAATTAGCATCAACATTAAGTTTGCCAGAGGAAATATAGCCTTTTTTTGGTGGGAGAGGCTGGAGAGGGGACAGTGGAAAGAGAAAGGTGGAGATCACAACGTATAGGCTGGAATTCAAAGCCACACTTCAATCATCTTCGGAGGCTAATTCATAACTGCATATATAATACTTAAAGAAAAAAATAGCATTTGTAGTGGTAGTGTATTTTTACGTCTAATCTCACTGCCCTCCATTCAAAATATCTTCTCTCAGTAAACCAAGTAGGGAAGTATTTGTAGATAAGTAGATCACTTTTTAACTATTGCAGAAAATTTTACCCTTTCACCAATCTAAACCTAAAAACATTAATCCAAGCAGATTTCTAAATCTGTAGAATTTTATTAGTCAAAACCAGCAGCTGGAGCTCTATCCTAAATGATATAAGGTATCCTTGGATGTATGGGAACAAATCCTGTAAGACATGCAACATGTCACTCTGTGCAATACTTGGAGGCTTTCCAAAGATCATCTAGCACAGAGAATTTCACATATCTTGGAAACACTCAAAACAGAAATATCTGGGAAAAAAAGTCAAACCTAATCAACATCAAAATTAAAAAAATAAATTACTAGCACCTCAGCCACTGTCATACATACATACTATGAGTGGCTTAATAGCAGGCTACAATTACAAAATTGTACTTAATGAAGATAGCATTGAAAAAAATGGTTTGAAAGAGAGGGAAAAAAAAGTGTTTAAATTTCTTAATCACCTGCCAGCAGAAATGACATCTTGACCATCATCATCTGAAATCCTCTGAATGTTTTAAAACTGACCATGCAAACGAAATCTTTATTTGACATGAAGCAATATGCAGATCTGAACTTTCATCACTAGTAGTTCCCAGTGATTAGAGAAAAAGATAATGGATTCAATTTTAAAAGTCATTTAGGAGGTCATACAGAAGGGCATAGATATTTATTGGAAAAAAAAATCCACAAGTGCCTTAAAAACACATTTAACTTTTTGGGGAATTATCTTCAACGTTATTTTGAAAATCCTTCTAGGTGCCTACCTGTGTCTTTAAGTACCCATATCCCATTAGAAACCTGACCAGGCCATCGTCAATGAAAGCCATAAAGTGGCAGTGATATCAGCAAATCTGGATAAAATTTTAGCTTGTAAGAAGACGTGACAGTATTTTCTATTAATGTCATTTAGTCCCTCAGTAGTACCACTTCACTTGTTAAATCTAAGACTGACAGATGCTTAGGAGTAGGAGGATCTGACGACTCCAAGGTAAATAAGAAATTCTGTGTATACAGCAGCTCAAAAACAAATAGAGCAACTCAGACATGACTTTTTTTTTTTTTTAGTTAGTGGAAAAAATGGATCAAAACCTGATATTCTTGCATGAAGGCCAACAGTAGAAAAAAGGGTAAATATATGGAAAAAAACTACGGCAGAGACAGTTGGAAAAAAAGAGTGTCATTAAAAAAAAGGAGCATATAGTAGGATATATGGTAGAGAAACATCAGTTAGAAATAACATCTGATGATATAGCAAGAGCATAAGTAAATCTAAATTTATGGTTAGATAACTCCATGAGTAGCATGTCTTCAATCACTAATCTGTAGTAGCCTGACAATACAATTTGAGGAGAAAAATCCGATTCATTGGCCAGAAATTATAGATACAGTAATTTATTGTCTGCTAAAAATATAACCTTGTGCCACAAAACTTACAGAAACAGTCCTAAAAATTTTAAAATAAATTTTCACTAAGCAATTACAAGAATCTAGCTGCATCCTTTAAGTGTGAGGCTTGCAAGATCAGCACGCCAGAGAACGAGCCGAAATAGCAGTACATATTCTACCATTTCCACGTTTCAAATTGTGTGCTATCGAATAAAATACTACTAACACTGGGCTCCAGGGACTTCTTTTAAGAAATTCATTTCTTCATTCAGTGACAAAGACAGATGATTATTATACAGGCCACTAGTTAAATCAACGATTCTTGTTCATAATAGACACTTTTCAATTAAGTTTCCTAATTGCCTTGTCCWTTTTTTTCACCTGTGCCTCTTAGCTATGCACTACCTAGTTGACAAACTAAGGTTTCGTGTGAGCAGGTGAGTACAAATACACAAACTTTGCCCTCACCTGCTTATTCAGCAGCTCTTTCGGCTGTGCTAAYCAAGAGGTAGCAGAAACTGCACAAAGAGCAGCTGTCTGGAAGTCTCCTTACTGTTAACCGCTACAGCTCCTTCTACCTTCAAAGCAGCAAACATATCTTTAATCATTCCTCCTATGGGGAAAGTATTATCCACCTTTTAAAGAAATAACGATGGCAAAAAGTAAATCTTTTGTCCAAAACAAARCCACAACAAAAAAAACTTGATGGTAGAATTGAAACTGAGATTTTTTACCTCTCAGTCCCCTGTTCCCTCAGTTGGGAATCTTTACCTGTATTATCTTGGAGAAGGAAATGAGATTGCTSCAGTCATGACAGACATTATATAATTGATTATTTGTGGTTTTCTCACTGCTCATATTTCATCTATGAAATGCTTGCATCATCTTGACTAGTTATAACATAGATACAACATCCAGTGAGGCATGAGAAAGAATGTGATTCTCAGTGCCTGGATGCCTGCCTGGTCTTTTCCAAGTTATTAACGATACCTCAATAAGGCAGGAAGTAATGACACTTTATAAAAGTAGGATCTGCTCACTGCTGTCTGGGAGAAATATGCATCCTTCCTACAGCTTTGAAAAAGGCTGCTTACACAGAGAGTACTTCTCATGCTGGGCTCAGATATTCTCACTTATCTGTCTCTTGAAGGAAAAGGAGAAGTGAATAAGGAGCACCTTGAAGTGATTGATGACAATGTTCAGTGCATTTGTGGGACAGCTCATTAGATGCTATAAAAAGGGTCCCTCACAATGTGCATTAAAGAATCAGAGGGGAGTATATTCTTGATAGAGTTTTAGATCCCAACTCAAAGACGCCACGCCAGCTCCTTAACAATGGGGTGAGGCCAACGTGGAATACTTCAGAAGGGCTTGCACAGATGAGGTGCTCAACCACGTATCAGCGATGATCAATGAGGAAGAAGAGAGAAACTTCTCTACTGATGTTACATGCCAGATAGAGGGGACTGCACAATATGATAAAAATAAAATCAACCTTGTAACTCAGAAGATGATACCTTCTGTAACAGTCACCCCTGCCATCACTGCCTCTTTTTCAGGATTTTCTTTTATACACAATAACGTTCTGTACCACCAGGAAAATAAGTCTGGTTCTGGTTCCTAGATTTAGCTTAAGGAGTGACCCACTTTTTTCCAATTGCTTCCTCTGATGACAAATTGCATTTATATGTCATTTTTTTCACTAGTAGCCCAACAGAAGAATACAGCTATCCTTAAGAGCTTTCTTCATGTCAACATTTACTTGTTAGCATATACACGGAAAGAGACCCAATTACACACAATTCTTAATAAGGAAGAGTAACTGATCTTTGTGGTTCTGCTCAGTTTGCCACTTGAGCACTTCCACAGGAGTGAAATCTGAATGACATACCATGTGTAGCGTGGAAAAAAAACCCCAAAACGTAAAAAATATCCAAATATTCTTCTGAAAGCTAAATAGATATATTTTTCATGGTGAGATGGCTAGTCATAATTCAATTTTAAGACATTGACACCAGCCTTAAATAGTCTTTCTGACCAGTCTCAAATAGTTGTTTCCTCTTATAAGTTTTAAAGGAACAAGAAGGGCACCAGGAAACAATAATCCTCCTTCCTCCTCTAAAACCCACTCCGTCAAACTAATTGCTATGACTTCTACTTCTTCCTAGATATATACATTTCCATCAGCACTCATTTCTCTGTCAAGAACAGTGAAATGTCAGACCTGGAGATAGATCAGTGGAGCTGAAGTAAAGGAGACCTGCAAACTCTACAAAGCAATCTCCATGGATAAGCGGCCTCATGCTTTTAAGAAACCTTTTTTTCAAGAATTAATTTCTCCCCAGTCTGATAGTCTTGACAATTCTGAAGTACCTGTTATCTCCCCTAAGTAAAAAGCCATTGAAAACAAGGAAGAATTACATGTTGTACAGTTTTTAATCCTTTTCCGATTTGGTGATGCCAAGAATAAGTGCTTTTAAAGTAACAGAAATACAAGGGTTGGGGACTGGGGGATGCATTAGGAGCATAAAAGAGGCTTGGTGCCACATGCCAGCAAACACGCTCAGTATCACTCATTTCCTCACACTCAGAAACAACTGCTCTCAAAACACAAGCCTATCCCATCTAGCATTTTCCTAGGACTACTGCAAAAGAAAAGTATTATACCACCGAGTTGACAACTACTGACAGTTGACCTCACAACCAATCCACTTACTACAATTTAATACTAATAAGAGTCACAAATAAATTTGTCTCAGAGTTGTGCCCTTCTGAAATGGAACAGCATCACTTATGTTTTTATGGGCTATGGGCAGAAATTTGAGAAATGACATTTAATGCCTCAGCATTTGGGATGGATCTTGAATTGCCTGAAAAAAGTGCCATTTGCAGAGGATGGGTACACAGCACTTCATGAAGTCAGCCTCATTCCATTCATTTTTAATTCCCAAACTCTATATACTCTTGATTCTGTAATACATATGCTGTTTGGCCAGTCAACAGGCTAGCCCCAGTAAAATACCAGATCTTGTAAAACATCAAAAATTAAACCCTGGGTGCATTTAGCCAAGGGAAACGTTTGCTACTGCCCTACGTTCAGCAGGGTCCTGTGCAGAACTTGGAGGGACGCTGCTCGGAAAGCCGCGCTACGTGTCCCAGGCGTAGAGCTTGGCTTACCTTGTACGCGTGCTACGCTGCTGAGCTGAGGTTGGATTTCAAAGTAATAGATGGGTTCTGKAAACCTAAGAGAAAACAGAAACATTGAGAAAAAACCTATTAGAATTTAATGGGATATCTCTAATATTGTATAGAGATTTTGCTGTCTCTTTTTTTTCTCTCCCCTCTTTTTTCTTTTAGATCAGTAGGAATTAAGGACACTTGCAACACTGCAAAAGCAGGAGAAAGGAATCAAGTAACCACCACCAGCAYGAATTGCTTCATTTGAAAATTAGTTTTTCAATATTGATTTTACCCATCTGCAGTTTAATTATTATTACAATAATAAGCAAATTGAAAGCTGATAACTACCAGAGAGATTTTTTGATGTGTAAGGTTAAAAACAGACAAAAACCCCATATTACACAAAACTGCCGTGTTGTATTAATACTAACAGAAATTATAACAATTGTAACAATATTTTGTCCCGTCCCTGCTTTTTTTTGTAATATTATATTCCAGGGACTTTTAGGTACTTGATACACAATTGTTTATAAAATCTCTTGAACCAAATCCACATGGTACCTTCCTCTGCCTCAGGATGATAACAGCTTATGCAATGTTTACACAGAAAAAGACACAGTTGCAACACAGACAGACCCATCGAGTCTATTCAGGCACAACCTAACGCAGCAATTTACAATGGTATTTGGGACGGGTAGCTATTTTTCACTCCCATTTTGCTATTATGAGATAAAATTAATTGATGAAAGGACTGCAAAAGGCTTAACGAAGAGCCAGAAATAAACTGAAGATCCTCCCAACTCCTGTTCCTCCAGTGCATTTCTACATAGCTTTTACTGAAAAGCAGAATCCCTCAGGGCTGAAATCTCAACTCTGGACCTCAGAGGAAGCCTGGTATGGTGTAAAAAGCAAACAACACGTCTAATTCTCAGTTACTGATGATAATGGTTTCATCTTGAACTTTTATAACAGTTATAACATGGTGGCTCTACTGACACAGCAGAGCTAACCAGATTTATATTCTGTGTAGATGTGACCCAAGTCTTCACTGGAACTAAAGTGACTCTGGTGCCCATTACTCAGCTCAGACAAAGCAAAGCCAACCTGCAAGTCCTCCTCCCGTTGCTCCTTTTTGCCCTCTAAGTGCTGGTCTGTGGGAGAGCAGGAGATCACAGTTTAAGAGCCCGTTCCCCATCATCCTTGACAGAACGCCAAATGAGTACATTAATACTAATTAATCACTGTCACAAGTAAGCCACGTGTCACTATTTTAGGTCAGAAAAAGAAGTCGGTAATTCAATACCACAGGTGTTAGAGAACACGCTCCAAATGTGAGTTTTCAGGTGAAGATGTAACATACAGTTTGTACATGCTTCTCACATGCCAAATGTTAGTTGTAAAAGGTTTCCATCATTTTTGACTAATTTCAGTGAACCACTGCTAATAAATAKTAATTTTGGGCAGTAATAACCGCAATAAAACATTTTCATCAATGTACAAGACATGAGCTGACTTCTCTTCTCTTGGATTGCCTTTTTTCTAGTGTATCTTTATGATCAACTGTTTCTACGGTGCAAACTGCAGAACAACAACTGCTTTAAGGCACATCTCAACTCATTTTAGAGCAAAATATCAGTAAGAAAGTCTACCTAGGGTCAAATCAAGCAAGAAATTCCCRATGACTTCTAAAATCAGACACTTAATTCAGGAAACTTGCTGAGAAAAGGGACCAGCATCACAGGTATTTCACATTCCCCTGAATCATCAGAAGAGACAGGTCATCTACAGAAGAAACCTAAGCCGACAGATTTCACAGTTTCACTGTGAAAAACTGTGTTTCACTTCTTTCACCAGCTTAGCAAACTGCGTGTTTCAGATAATGCAATGTTAACTTTTTCTGCTCTGGTATTATTTTTGGTAGAAAAATGATTCTGAAGAGCACAGTCATCCTCACACGTAAAAGCATCTTAAATATTACAAGTGACTACAGAAGCCATAAAAATAATGTACTGTTTATGAAGTATGACCTGAGAGAGCAGGATATTCAATTTTCCCTCCTGAAGGCCAGTGGAGTTGTTTCCAAGAACACAGTTCACTTGCTTACAGAAGTACCCCTAAATCAACTTGGATATGAAGTCACCAGCTGGATTCCTTTAGGAGCTCAAAACTTATCAGGTTCCTGGAAATAGCAACATCTCTTTCATGAAAGACAAATGTGGGCCTTGAAGTTTGGCAGGAGTTTTCAGTCTCCTACAACTTCACACACATTTGCACTTGTCCACAAATTTCTATTAGTTAATACCTATGATGTAAAGCAACCCTATTCTCCAAGGCTTTATATCAGTTCTACCCTACCTTTTCTCTGACTTCCAAGAAGCCAAAGCTATACACATTGTGCAAGGGCTGGAGAGTTAGGAAAGCCAAAAGACTATATATAAATATGAAGGAGAAAATAAAGAGCATATGAAAAATAAGAAACAATATGCTATTTTACAGGCAGAAATGCCTGTACTAAGTCACGCTCCCTTCAATAGTGCAATTAGTCAGTTGTCAAAAAGATACTTTTCTATACTTGGAAACTCCATTAAAATCTTTTCAGCTGTAGGATACACAAAATTGATTTTGGTAGGACTTTCTTCAATGTTCTCACACATTCAGAATAGATGAAATCAAGTACCTTCCATAATCCTGAAGCTACTATGATGAAGGCCCAGAAAATATTTGAAAATTCGGTTACATAGCTCTTAACACCAAATCCTATCTTATCTACAATAGACTTTCTTGGAAAAAGCATGAACTGAGTTCAGAGACTGGGTAGGAGCAAATGGTCTTGTTTTCCTTATATTTGCATACAGATGGCAGTTTTTCCAAGTTAAAATTATAAGCTGTAAACACACTGCCAAAGTTCAAACATTTTGTGCTTAGTATAAACATATCCAATAGAGCTTCACTGCTCAATTGAAAATAATTAGACAGACAATGGACTGTTCGTTCCTCCCCTGTTTAGCAGCACTGCATGGCCATTGGGAATGATATTGGGAATGGTATCCCAATGCATGGTCATTGGGAATGGTATTTCATCACTCAGGCATCCCCAGAACCGGTAATGATCATTCGGAAACCATAAGAAAAAGAATTCCTTTTTGATCAGAGTATCACTCTCATCTGAAATTCAGCTAGGAGTTAATTCATTGTGTGAATATACAAAGCTGTTTTTCCAACCAARCTGATGATTCAAACTGTCAATAAATACCAAAAAAACCCACAACATTCTCCTTAGCTGACCACTGCAATTTCAGGTCCCGCATTTGGTTTTAATAGGTAAGATTACAGCAGGCTTCTTTCTACGCACCACCTTGCTATAATTGCCCACGTGTTCAGAGTTCTTGGTAAAGAAACCTTCACAAGAAATTTGTTCTTAGAAAGCATGCTGAAACTGTTTTTAATAATTTGTTCTCCATTTCATCACTTTTGCATAAAGTAYAAAAGCCTAATGGCAATTACTGGTGTCCTCACTGATCCAGGAAAAAAAATGATTTCTCCATTCCTTCCAGAAAATAAAAACCTCTTGTAAACGTTTTTAAGGTTTAAAGCTTGACTTGTTGACAGGTTATGACCAGCAAATAAGGGTTCCTGCAGGGATACAGTTAGGCTAGCTGCAACATGCCATCTGAGACTTCTTTGTAGGTGTTGGTAAATCAGTAAACTCTGCAGCACTTGTGCGAGTAACTTACCAAGGATGTATTGGGCAAAGCAAGWATAATACTTTCAGAAAATATCACAATTTCCACACATGGCATTGCAACAGCAGCTGACTTCAACTCTGCATTATGTTTGCACTCTGCTCTTTCTTAGAGGGGCACCAGCATTTTGATAAGTGGGACTTTATACCATCACAAGAGAGCCCTGAAGGCAAAGTCCAGCCTGGCAGGTACYTCCTGGCTCATGGAGGCATCTTGACCACCATCAACTCATAAAAGCAGCTCCGTTGCTGCTGGACCAAACACCAGCTGCACATTCCCTCTCCCTCCGGGGCATTTTCACATGGCTACCCATCACTGATTTACAATGAAGTGCAGTTCCATGATAAGAACRAGAGTTGTCCCTTGCTAGGACTTGGATTTCAACTAATATATCAATATTTATGGAAAGCTTCAATTAATCTACCTTCGTAGAACAGCGTTTCCCTTGAATTCGTCTAGTCTATGCAAACAAAAGCAAGATTTTAGTATATTTAAAAGATATGCTTACTGTGACAAAAGCTTGAATTGACCCTATTGCTGAAGTCGCAGCGAGATTACATGGCGCTAATAGAACAGCAAAGACATTACTAATAAGGAATTGCTATCAACATTATTTTTAAAATTGAAATTAAAAATACATATTCATACAGACTCTGGTCTATTAAATATATGCTCACATAACTAGGGTTTACAAGGAAATAAAAGTGCAACCATTTACGATCATTTTAAAAATGATGCAAATGTTTGAATACTGTCATGTCCGAGGGACATGAAAGGCACATTTAGATACTGAACAGAATATCAAATTGAAGTGATTCGGAACTCATAACTAGACTACTCCATCTTTCCTATGTTAGAATCTGCAGGATAAATATTGGCAGATACAGTCCCTTGACCTGCAGATGCTTTGGAGCAAAAGCCACACTTTACTGTTTTCTATAGCCCTTAGATAGATTTTTACTACTGAAATAACCAAACKAATACATAACAGCAAAATAAAGAGTAATAAAGTACCCCCCCCCGAAATCTCCCTACAAAATCAATTATTGACTTCATTAATAGTCTTGCTTTTTAACAGTTTTATATTACCGACTGTGCAACATGGAGACATCCACGCATAGCCTAATTAACAGCAATCACACACACTAATAGTATAACCTACTGCTTAAGTAAATGAGCATCCTTGCCCCCTGCTGCCTTGCCGGGCCGATAGGCATGCGCTTTATTGACAGAGGGAGCTAATTTGCAGAGTGATTGTCCAAGAGGGAACTGCTGTTTATTTGCAGACTTTTTCCCATTGAACTCGC